TCTTACTTCTTTCTCCTTTCTCACTCTACTTGTCTCTTCCCTTTTCCTCATTACCTCCTCCTCCCACTTCTTCCCCCCCCCCCTCGTTTTTCTCTCCCTCCTCCTTCCTTCGCTGGTTCCTCCTCCCTCTGCTCCCCCTTCCTCTCTCTACGTCTCCCTTCCTCCTTCCTCTTCACTTCTTCCTCCCCTCCTCCTCCTCCTCCTCCTCCGACCTGGTGTAAAGTTCGCTCCAAAACGTCGAGACCCCTTGCCTCTGACGCGTGCGCCTGCTCGAACAGTTACAAGAAGCCAGAGCCCCTTCAGTTCTCTCCTCTCCTCCTCCTTTCCTCTTTTCTCCTCTCCTTCCATTGCTCCCTCCTGACTGCCCCTGCTCCCCCCCCGCTCCCCCCAACTCCCACTCTTCCTCCTCCTCCTCCTCGTTGACTTATCCTCTCCTCTGCCTCACACTCTTTCCTCCTCCTCTTGATTCTGTCCTGCTCAGACGACTTGCCTGTCCAAGTGTGCTCTGCTGACGAGCCCAATCGATCTCTGCATGCGCCTGTGCATTGTCAACCTCCGTCAGATACTTCAGACCCACTCGCCCTCCCCGCCCCCTCCTCCTCCTTCTCCTATTTCAACCTGTCTGAGCTCTCCCCGCAGCATTTCCATCTCGCGCCTGTGTTTCATCAGCATAACAACATGTTACCTCTCCTCCTCCTCCTCCTCCTCCTCCTCCTTCCCCTTTCTCTCCTCCGTTGCTCACTTCGCTTCCCGGAGCTCCGTCTCCAGCCCTTGCACTCGTTCCTGCGGTCAAGTTTCAGGTCCAGCTGCTCTCCAGCTGGCTGAGGATCACCTGAGCCTCCATCAGGTCCAGCTCGATCTCCCGCAGAGCCGTTTCCTTTTCCCGCAGCTCATCCTGTTTGCGCATGTCACGTCACGATCTCCTCCTCCCCCTTCTTCTCTCCTTCCCCCTCCCTTCCCTCCTCCCCCTCGCTCTCGTCCTTTGCCATCCCCTGCTCTCTTTTCTGCCCTCCCTCCTGCCCCAGTCCACGTCCACGTCCTCGTATTCCTCCTCCTCCTCCTCCACCTCCTCCTCTTCCTCGTTTTACCTGTGTGGTCAGCAGCTGCTCGTTGAGGGCTCCAGACTCCGCCAGCGCCTGTAGAGAAGGATGAGGAGTAGGAGTAGGAGGAGTAGGAGTAGGAGGAGGAGGAGGAGGAGGAGGAGGAGGAGGAGGAGGAGGAGGAGGAGGAGGTGGTGGTGGTGGTGCAGGGCAGCAGCTCTTCCTCGTTCGCCATCTTCTCCATCCTCATAGCGCGTGACTGATGCTCTTCCTGCAGCAGGACGTGAGAAGGGGAGGGAGAGGGGAGGAGGGAGGGTGGGATGAGGGAAGGGGAGGATGGAGAGTGGGAGGAGGGAAGGGGAGGAGGGAAGGGAGGAAGGGAAGGAGAAGAGAGGGCTACCGCCTGCTGTTGCCAGTGCTCGCGTGCTGAGCTCTCCTGCGCCAGGGCATCTTGAAGTCTCTTGACCTTGCATGGTCTCAGGTACTGACCTCGACTCGTCCTCCTCCTCCTCGTCCTCGTCCTCCTCTTCTCCTCCACACTCTTCCCTTCCTTGCCCCCCCATCATTCCCTCTTCATCTTTCCTCCCACTTCTCGTCCCGTCCTTTCCATCTCCTCCCCCTCCACTGCCACCAGCCAACCTGCAGACTCCTGTCTGTCTGGTCCGACGAGTCGTCTCCCGTCCCAGAGCTGAGGAGGAGGTGAGGAAAAGAGCAACAGCCACTCGTTGACTGACATGGCGTCGCTCCTCCAGGTCAGCTCGGACTTGAGCCGCTCGAGCTCTTCGAGGAGATCCTGCGGAGATTTAGACGATGCAGAGAGGAGGATGGAAAGAGAGAAAGGAGATGGACAAGAAAGATGAGCAGATGATGATGATGATGATGATGATGATGATGATGATGATGATGATACGGAGGGAGGAGGAGGAGGAGGAGGAAGAGTAGGAGTCACAAGAGTTGTGGAAGCAAGGGGACAGTGGAAGTAAAAGAGGCAGAGCCGGTGAAACGCAGCAGAGCAAGACTCGAGAGCAAGGGAAGGAATACGCAAGGCTGGGGATGAGTCAACATGTTTTTCAAGCTTCAAGTTTGCAAGCTCCTCGGCAGCTTGATCCATCAGCTCTCGTGATGTTGAGTCCAGGCCTAACAACCATGGCACGTGTTAGACGACAAGCAGGCAGAGCAAGAACAAGAGCAGGATGAGGAGAAAGCGCAGGAGCAGAGGGTGAATGCAGAAAAGAGGAGGGGCAAGATAGGAGGAGGAGGAGGAGGGGGACGACGACAAAGGACGAGGAGCAAGATAGGAGGAGGAGAAGGTACAAGTACATGTACAAAGTGTTTGAAAGAACAGCAGCAGCAACCAGACATCATAAGCGCTCTCACCGCTTCGTGTAACCTGATCCGCTTTCATCTTCGTCACGAGATGATTGATCTCTCGCTCCTTCTCCTGCACAATCCCATCTCACTACCTCCATCCTCCTTCCTCTCCCCCCTCCCCCTCCTCCTCCCCCTCTCCTCCTCAAAGGCGGCAGATTCATTGTTCTTGTATCAGTCACTGTGCCGTACAAGTGACCGACGAGACCGTTAACAGGACACTCTTACAACTACCAACACCACTCGCAGCATCATACTCACTTCTCCCAGCGTGTGAACGTGCTGGTTCAGGAAGTGAAGGTGTTCCAGCAGCTCGTCGCACCTCCCCTGTCCTCCTCCTCATCAATTCACCTCCTAGTCGCATGACTCGCAGTAGACCTGAATCCTGGGCAGCTCTCGCAGGTCGTCGAGCATGTGCCTGCCCCGTTCCTCAGCTCTTGCTCGGACCAGGACCTGATCCTATCTCCTCTCCCTCCCTCTCCCTCTTCGTCTCCCTCTCCTCAGTCGTCTCCTCTGCCCTCGCTCCTCCCTCCCCTCACGCACATTCTCTCTGCCTCGAGGCTCGCGATGATCTTGTCTCTTGTTTCCAACTCGTTCTGCCAGCCTGTCATGCTCCGATCCTCCTGTCCCGCCACCTCACCTGTAGCTGCTGGAGCTGAGCTGGGAACTCGTCGCCTTTCAACGCGTCAGGGGTGAGCTGGAGAGCATAAAAGAATTGTCTGTACCTCCTTGAGAAACTACTGACCCCCTTGCCTGCGATCGAGTCATCATTGCGGACGGAGCACAACAGGCAAGTCCACATGCTCTACCTGCAAGTTCGCGATCTTCTTCTGCGCCGCATCCAGGAGCTCTTGTGCTCTCTCGCCCTTGCTGCGCTCCTGATCGGCCGCGTTCTGCAGAGCAGGAAGCGAGCTGTAACTCGAGGTGACTTGAAGGCAAGGGACGAACCAGAAGGTCTTCTTGCAAGTCTCTGGCTGAGTTCAGCTCCATCTTCAGCTGCAGGATCTGAAGGCCAAGTCAGCACAACCTTCTCTCTCCTCGTCTTCCGACTATCTCCCGCTGGCTGGCTGTCTCATTCTCCAAGTGCTCCGCCTTCTGGATGAACTGCGCCAACGCCTCCTCCTTGACCTGCAGCTCTTGCATGATGGAGGCCTGGCGTTTAAGGCCGCACGTCAACAACAGTTCTCCTCCTCGTACAGCACACGGCATACCCTCCATGCCTCCATCGCATGTGAGCTTTGCGGATCGATCCCTTCAAACTCGTGCAGTGCTCTGACCAAGGGTAAGGGTGCAAGTGAGAGCAACCAAGGTTCCCACCTCATCAGTCTGTCCTCAGTCGTAGTGGCAAACTGCTGCCAGTCCTGCAAACGAGCGTCGGGAGAAGATGCTCGGGCAAAACCAGCGCACCTTCATCTCAGCTTTGACCCGCTTCAGTTCCACACTGGCCGCGTCGATCTGAAGAGGAGACAGTGAGTGGAAGAAAGAGCTCTGAGTCCAGCAGTCCACCTGCATCTTTGCTCCCTCCTCCATCCTAGCCATATCCCGGTTTTGCGCCATTCTACATCCGTGTCAGGAGAGTACTGCAAGGGCAGCAACAGCATACAGGCGCTGGTCCAACTCAGATATGTGTTGCTTCAACGATGCGATCTCGTCCTCCATCGACCTGAACTGGATGTGGGTGACTTCTTCATCTGAAATTCGTTCGTCTATCAGAAATTTCTGCTCCTCCAGGGCCTGTTCCACAACGTCGGATCATTGCATACGTGCAGGTAAATGGGGGAATGTTCGTACCTGACGGAGCTGATCATTCTCATTCATCAAGTCTTGGAAGCTAAAGTCTCTTCTCTTCTCTCCATCCTGGCCGTCAGCTCCCTCCCTGCTGATCAGCTGCTCGATCCTTGCCTGAGGAGCCGTCAGCCTCGTACAGAAATCCCCGCACCATGCTGTACCTCAAGGTGGAAGATCTTCTTATGAGCATCTGCAAGCTGCCTGTCCTTCACAACGAGCTCATCCTGCATGGACGCAGCGAGCCGGCTGTACTCGAACCCCGCCATGTTGCCCCTCGGCAGCGCCCCTTCTTCCTCCATCATCCTGCCATGCCCGCTCTACGCTCGCCAGTGAGTTAAGGGGTTGGATTTGCTGGGGGTAGGTCATCTTCTTAGGTGGGGTAGGGGTATCAAGAGGACAAGCAAAGAATACTGTCAGAGCCACATAAATGGGGGTAGGGGTACATTCCCCCAGCTCAACAGAGGAGGGTTCGATAAAAACAAGGGGGTAGGGTGGGACAGATGATGGGGTCGACTGATTTGACAAGTATGACTCGAAAACGCGCAACGGAAATAACCGTACTACAGTGTGGCCAGCCTCCCCGGCCGGCGCGGCCGGCCACAGCCGCGCGGCCCCGGCCTGTCCTCCCCCCGGGACTCCTCGTCGTCTCACCTGCAACCTGGAGACTGCCAGGTTCAACCCTCAGCCCACAGGCTCGTGGCCCGGCGAGCCTCCGAAAGCTTGAGTTGCAGCGGACGGTCAAAGAACACAACGGGGCGGCTACGGCGGTGACTGCCGGGCCGCCCGGGCCGCCCGAGGCCTACCCGGCCGCGCCCGGCCCGGATTGGACGGAGGTCACCGAACACTACGGCAGAAGCGGACCCTCATCCCCTCATTTACCCACAGCCGGGAGATCGAAAATAGGCTTTTTAGGGGGTGGTGGGTCATGGAACATGTGAAGGTGGTGGGTACTCTGGAATGAAAATTGGGGAGTCAGAGGGGGTACCATCCTTTTGCTAGGGTAGGGTGGGTACGGTAGTTAGTGACGCGAGCATGAACCGGATACCCGAGGGGAGGAAGGGCTGCAGGGTGGGACTGGTTGGGAAAGCGAAACGACATGGCGATGGGATGGGAAGGAGGGGAGGGGATGGGATGGGATGAGTTGAGTTGAGATGAGCTAGGATGAGGTAGGATAGGGTGGGATGGGTTGGATGGGATAGGAGAGAGTTGGAGAAGAGATGAGAAGGGATACGCCAGATTGCGAGGTCCACCTAATGTCAGTTTCAGAGCGAACAGTGAAAGAGTATGAGGAGAGTAGCGGAGAACAAATGTGTTTCAATGTGTAGCAGAAGTCCTGGGATTGAGGGGTAGATGTGTGGAGAACGAGCAGAATATGATGCATGTATCCCGACTCAGAGCCACAGTGAGTTAGAAGAAGAGTGACCGCAAGGATGTTGAGTTGTCAACATGAATCCGAGAGGAACGGTTGTTGAAGGATATCCTTCATTCAACTGAGGAGGGAGCGAGGCATTGAGAGGAAGCTCCATGTGAATGAGGGGAGTTCGTTTCGTCGAATGCCGTCAGGAGCAAGATGCTTGTCTCCTCATTCACCGGAGGACCTGCGGGCTGTGACGCTGACTTGTTGCCTTTGATCAGGGGGAACTTTCAGTCTGTTTGGCGCAGCCATGATCCATTCCCGCTCGTGAGAGACTCAGTGATCGTGCGAGAGAACTAGCCGGCCAGCATGTCGATGGTTGTGTTCTCAAACAAGAGGATCTCCCTCTCCTACAACCTCTTCTTCTCGGTTGGGATCATCGCTTTCTTCGCTGGCGTCAACCTCTGCCTCCTCTTCCTCCTCTCCATCGGACGCCTCAACTGCGACATGAACGACCCAGGGGCGCACGCCATCTATGCCATGCCCCATGTCTGGTGTCCTGCCCACGGTGACGCGCGGGGCAGCGGGCTGCATCGTGTCCTCTCCGAGTTCCCTCCCGGGCAGCTTGTGATCGACGTGGGGGCGTACGACGGCAAGGAGGCGATCGAGTATGCGAGCGCAGGGCACAACGTGCTCTCCTTCGAGCCGACCCCCTCCAAGTCCGCCAACATCAAGAGAAAGATCCGCAACGCTGACCTCGAAGACAAGATCACCTTCTACCCCTGGGCCGTCAGTGACAGGTCAGGCGAGGCCCCCTTCGTCGTCAACGTCGGGGTGCACCTGGAGAACGGTAAATGGGCGATAAACGAGGGGGAGGAGAAGAACCCCGAGACGATGGGCAGCGAGCAGGACGGCTTCAGGGTACCATGGAGCCATGAGAACTCGACGACCGTCAACGTCAAGGTGGAGAAGCTTGACAACGTGGTCCCCCGGGACAAGTTCGTGCTCTTCATGAAGGTAGACTCGCAGGGTCATGACTTCAAGGTGCTCAAGGGCGCTGACCGGCTCCTCTCCGAGCACAGGGTGGCGGTGTTCTCCGCCGAGATCTCGCCAGGGCTGATGGAGGGAGGGGCGAAGGAGGGGCTGGACATGCTCAACTACATCGCGTCCAAGGGATACCGCTGTTACGGCTGCCACACCTCCTTCGAGACTGGCTTCCGCTTCGGCCTCCCTGTCCCCTTCTCCATGTGGACGCAGCACCTGGGCACGCTCAAGTTCGAGCACAGAGGAGCGAACCATGGCCAGTGGGACGACATCGTGTGCGTGTCGAAGAAGGCCAGCGAGGTCTTCAGTGGCCGCATGTGAGCTGGTAGGTGTGCTGGGAAGCAGCTCGGTCCTCTTGACTGCGAGTTTTCATTCTGACCTCCCTCTTCTGCTTCCGATGTGCGGTGAGGACGGGGAGGGAACTGCTTTCCTCCCCGCCTCCCCCCCTCCCTCCCGCTCGCTGGTCTCTTCGTGGAGCTGCGAGCTTATGACGAGATGGGGGTGCGACTCCTCCTCCCCGGGAAAGCCTGCAGTGTGAGGTCGGTCAGCCTCTGAATTTTCGCGCCATATTCAAATTTTCAAATCTCGTTTGAACTTTAAGACATGAGTGTTTCACCTCGTGCCGCTGCTACCTCCCCCAGCAGGCGGAAGCTTGTCTCCATGCCCCTCACCCAAGCAGCCACGTCGAAGAGTTCTTGTTCATCGTCACTGCCGCTCTCCTGCACCTCCCCTCCTCACCTCGTCTCTGCCTCCTCTCCAACGATCTCTCCCTCACCAGCTCTGTAGCCAACAGATCACAAGCAGCACGACACACTGTGAGAAGCGAGCAATGGAGCGGAATGGAGGAGGTGTACCTAGAGATGTTCGTTGCTTGATCGCGACTCTCATCAGGCTCGCGTAGTCTTCCAGGTTACGAGCTGCATCCAACATTATCCTCCTCCTCCTCCTCGCTCCTCGCTCCTCAGCTCTGCCACCCTGCTGCTGCTGCTGCTGCTGCTGCTGCTGCTGCTGCTGCTGCTGCTGCTCTTCCTGCACCCACTCCTTCTGTCCGTTCTTTCTTACCAATGAAGGCAGCGGCTTGGGGCCCTGCTGCGAGGGACAGAGAGCTGCCAACGCGAGCGACAGGGCGGAGGAGGGAGAGGGTGAGAACAGGAGTCGAAGCCCAAAGGGAGTAGGAAGCAGTTGTGTGAGCGTTGCCTGGAAGTTGTGAGGAGGGGAGGATGCGAAGAAAGAGGATGAACATCGTGGAGTGTCGAGGAAGAGATCAGCAGCTGCGGCCATGTGCATAAATTCTTCTTCTGCTGCCATCTGCTCCGTCGTCATGTCACGTAGAAGAGGGACTGAGCAGCAGCACCGGGGACCATATGAGCCGACGAGGGTCAACACCTGAGGGGAGGAGAAGATCAAGACGATCACAGGAACAGGACGGAGGCGGGAGGAGAGCAGAGATTTATCGTTGTCGAGCTCATCACCTCTTCTCGACGCGTGCTGGTTGATGCGACGCTGAGCCTGTGGAAGGCAAGGAGGGTAAGGAGGGTAGGTAGGAATGGCGAGGAGACATCAGATTGGGGAAGGAGGTAGGGGGCTAGTCAAGAGTAGGAGTTCAGAGAGGAGGAAGGAGATGAAGTAGGAGAGAAGGAAGGATAGGAGGCAGGAGAGTGAGACGGAGTGGGAATATGGGAGGAGGTAGGAAAGGACGAATGTGGAGTGTTGGAGAGTGAAGAAATGAAGTGGCAGAGGAGGTAGGAGATCAAGTTGGAGAGAAAGTAGGAGAAGAGGAAGGACGAAAGAAATTTGGGAGAGGGAGATCGAAAGTTGAACGATACCTCTTTCGGGAATTCAATTAGCCAAAGGACAGTCCTACTTTCTTGCTCAAGAATTCTCATCCAGGTCTGCAGTCATGTCAACACTCTTGTTACGGAGAGACTTCCAACCTCAAAGGTCACTTCGTCGATCTTCTGGATCCTGTTGAAGCAAGCCAGCACTATGGACTACAAGCACCAAGGGATGAGGAGCTGTTTTCAGCAGTCACAAATGCTGTTCACATCTAAGGGCACGTCGTGTCTTCTTCTTGCATCTCGTCTCTGTGTTATCAGCGTCAGGTTTCAGGAAATTTTCAAGGCTTCAACTATCTTCACCTCCTGCCTTCGATCCTCCACCTCCTGCGCAGGAACATCCGGAAATTTCACCTTCAGCGTGTTGGCTAGGTAGCTGCCCGGCAGGTAGACCTGTATCGGTCAATCATGAACGTACGATGGTGGGTGGGTGGGAGGGAGGGAGGGAGGGAGGGAGGGAGGGAGGGAGGGAGGGAGGGAGGGAGGGAGGGAGGGAGGGAGGGACAGGGGGGAGTGAGTGAGAGAGAGGGCAAGGGAGGGAGGTAGGGAGGGAGCGACAGAGATTAGGAGTTTCAGATCAGATTCAAGTATGATCGCTCAGTATGATCGCTCGTACCATCTTCTCCGAGAAGAAGCTATCGGCGTACTCGACCGGCGACATTACTCTGTCCCCTGTGACAGTACGTCAGGCGCCTGGCCCACCCGAGAGTGTGTAAGAACCGATGTAGTGGGAGATGAACGACGATCCGGTCGTGGTGCAGAATCTATAGGACACTTGGAGGGGGGCAGGCTAGTTTGACGGAGAATAGCAGGAGACAACTGTGAGGAAGAGAAGCGGATAGGACGAGAAGAGCAAAGGGTATACCTTTCTTCTCAGCACTGACATCCTGTTCCCGTGGTTGTGGCCGTCAAGATACACGACCAGCCCAACCTTGCGAAGTTGAGGTCACAAGAATGATCAGAGCAGGTTTGACCCCCACCTGCTGCTCGTTGATCCACCTTGCAACCTCGCTATCATCTCTGTCCTCCATCTCCTGTCGTTCCTGTCAACCGAGCACCGACCGTCACCTCATTTACTTGGAGCCCGACAGCAGAGCTCTGTATGAGGCGACGCCAAGGGCTCTGCTCGTGTCCTCCCCCTGCCAAGAGCTCACATGAGTTCCAGCATGAAGGTGTGAGGGCAGGGAGTGCGGCAGACATGTTGAAGACGTTCATGTAAGAAGAGGTCTGACCATTCAGCGACAGGCAGGTGATGTGCAATGAGTCGGTTGACGTCTTGTTCCCATGCAGCGCGATGGCATGCGCCATGAACGACAACATGACCTGCCGTTCCTCTAAGACTCGCTGCCATGACACCAACTCCCCTCTACCGTCTGTCCGAAGTCCGAGCTCATGTAGACCACTTTCAGTCTTGACTGTCGTCTACCATTCCCGTCAACCCCCGTCTTCTCAAAGTTCCTCATTGCAGACCTCAAACGCTGGAAGTTTCCGGTGAAAACAATCCTCTCTCTCCATTCCAGATCTTGCTTGGCGAGCTGACATAGTCCAGCGCAGTCAGAAGAGCTCAACGTGTAAGGTCTCGATATGTTTACATCCTTGTCTGACTCTGATGAAAGTCGCCGCATCACGGAGACATCGAGGTCTTCTGAGACGCCAAGGAACAGAATCTGCAGGAACACAGTCAGGGGAACGAGGAAGACTGGCAGGGGCAAGAGGAGTCCAACACAGGGGCAAGAGGAAGACTGACAGAGCAGCGGGGAAGAATGACAGTGGGGTCGGGAAGACTCTCATTACCGCGTTCACCGACTTTGATGGCAGTTGGTGAGAAGCATGGCTGATGGATTCACGTAACACTCGCTGAGATCGGTCGCGCATCACACGCTCCAAGTCCCATTCAGCTGTCAAGGTCGGGCAAGAAGTTCATCACAACTCTGAAGTCTCCTCCCTCCTCCTCCTCCACATCCTCCCCCTCCTGCTCCTCCTCGTCCCTCTCCCCCTCTCCCTCCTCCTCCTCCTCCTCACCCAACATCTGAGCTAACAGGGCCAACTCTAGACTGCAGATGCCCGCCCTCCTGTCTTCCATGGAAGGCTGCGGCTGAAGCTCTCAGGACCGATAACAATCACATCTTTACGTACTGATGAAGAGTTTCCTGCCAGAATGTTCCGACATGCAGCCTGTCTTGGGGGTCACGAGCAAACGGCCGGCTCCTCAGCTCACCATCCACAACCGCAGTGACTCGTCGTAACGTTTCATCTCCTACACGCCACGTCTCAATGCACAGCATATCACTTTTAATCTCTACTCACATCCATACTCTACTCACATCTAATCTCTACTCACATCCATACTCTACTCACATCTAATCTCTACTCACATCTAATATCTACTCACATCTAATCTCTACTCACATCTAATCTCTACTCACATCTAATCTTTACACAGCACATCTCTACTCGCAGCACACAAACAGGCTCCACCAGTAACTCACGGAATCTATGGAGGCTGCAGACATGAGACACTCGACCCGTATGGAGGAGGAAGGGCTAGAATGCAGAAGCCTCGCGCAGAACAAGAACGAACGGAGAGATTGCTCGTTATCCTCCACAAGAGCGAGCGAAGAAGCCAGTCCCTGCGGACCGTCACAACGAGCACTTGGAATGTATTGTTGTGTCTGAACAACATGATTGCTATCTCTCAAGTTCATCATTCTTCTTACTGACGATATGTACAGCTGTTGAAGTCAAGTCTTCACACCTGAATGGCAGGCCCACAGATATCGAGAGACTTCACATCTGTACATGATAGCAAGCACGCGGACGACAACCACCTGCTTGCCTTTAAACGACGAGTGAGCAGGAAAGATTTTCAAACCACGGTACTTCAATGTCTTACCTCCTTCGGCTGAGCGTTGTGCAGGTAGAGGAGACCGAGGTTGAGGGTTGGCAGCGTTCTGTTTGGCTACAGCAAAACACTCTGAGGGAGAGAAAGGGAGAGAGAGAGGGAGAAGGGAAGAAGGGAACGGTGGGGGTGAAGGAGAGACAAATTAAGCGAAAGAGGGAAGCAGGGAGGAGGAAGCCAGGGAGGAGGAGGCGAGGGAGGAGGAGGCGAGGAAGAGAAGGAGGAAGAGAGGAGGACAGTAACTTATCTCACCGAAAGCGACAGAGCATGGCGATGAGTCCTGATGGCGCATTCGTTGTACCCCAGGTGCTGTTTGGATATCAGGTGGGCACGGGGTGAAGCATGGAGATCACTTGCAGTGTAACTCCGAGCAGCTCGATCGCATCCTTGTCCAAGGTGTGAGCGGAAGGAAACGATGAGATGGCACTGGTGTACACGAGGGGAAAAGACTAATTGTCTGAAACACAGCAGCGAAACAAAGATACTGGCAACGTGAAAAATGCAAGAACAAGACTGCAAGACAACAACAATGGAGGGACGTCGAGTCGCACACATCCAGACCTGAAGGTTCTTCTGCAGTCTGAGTGTAATACAAAAGAACAAGAGAGATGCTCTGGATTCCTCTCAAACCCAGCAGGCATATGAAGATGTTCACCTTAGACGACCTTGCCGCAATGATTCGTGTCCGACTATCATCAGCACCTGCAAAGAGTCTCAGCTCCGAAGATCAACGCAATGGCCTGCTCTCACTTGAAACAGCTTTGGGTACAGCAGGTTGACCTGCTCAAACAGATCCTGCGAGTTCCGACGAAGTGAAGCGTCGGTAGCCTCTCGGACCTCCTCCAACAGGGCCTGCGCGGGAAGCCATTCAAACACGAGTCAAGGCAGACGTGTCAGTCTTACCCTAGCAAGCATTCCTTCAGCACTAGAGGGAGGCAGTAGACTTATCATGCGCTCGTCCTGCATTCCAACTGCAGAGACCAATCAGTCTCACTTCGTTGCCTCATGCCAAGGTACCTCCGATCCCACCAGAAACCACCTCGGGAGCGTTCCTATCACCTTCCTCTGTCAACTATCTCCCTCCTGAAGGCAGAGCCGTGTACCTCTTCGCTCTATCCTCTTCGTTCCAGGAGCAAGTAGCTGGTACATGAGCATGAAAGAGGTCAGCAAGACCCGTCGCGCTGTGAGCTATCTTCGATCCCGACGCTTCTCTTCCCCTCTCCTCCCACCGAGCTGCATCATCGGACGCCAGGAGCGAGTACCTCGATCCCACCCCTGCCACGCTCACTCCCGCCATGGCCATGGCCAGCCACAGGCAGCGCATCCGGACCTCCATAGCGACTAGTCGCAACCATGAATCCTCATCCCATGTCCCAAATCCCCACCCCCACCCACCCCCTTTACGATTCTCACCCCAGTTCTCACCCCCCTTTTTCATCATCCCTGAAAATGTCGCTCGTTGCGGGAGGAGGAGGAGGAGGAGGAGGAGGAGAACGAGGAGGAGGGTGAGAGAGCATGAATGCAATCTGTTGGCACCTGCGTGTCCTTCCACTGTGGCTCGACCAGCGCATGGAGAGCGCTGCGACGACGAGGGGAGCTTGTGAAGTGACGAGAAGATTCTGCCGAACTCTTTCCAAGCCGCAGGAGGAGGAGGAGAGAGAGAGGCTCGAGAGCATGACGAAGCTTCTGATGGAGGTAGGCTCTCACAAACTTGTACATAATAGACGAGAAGGACCAAGGAAGCTTCTGGATCATCTCTTTGGCACCATGAGACTGCTGATTGAAGCGGGATACCCGCAAAGGATTTGCGCTGCTGGTGAGCAGAGCAGAGCAGAGGTGGAGATAAGGGGAGAAAAGGAGAAGAGGAGGGCAGTGGAGAGGAGGAGATCAGTGGAGAGGAGGAGGGATAGAGAGGAATGCCACGAGCACATGCTGACTTCCATGTCAGGTCTCTTTCACAGCATCTACGGCACGAGCATCTTCAAGCATACATCGATCGTTCCTGACGCGCGTGGGCGCGCGGTCGTACGGGAAGTGGTTGGCGAAGAAGCGGAGCACCTGGTGTGGCTTTTCCACTCCATCGATCGCCCAGGGACACTGCATGCAAAGATCCTGCCATGCGCTAATGGCGCGTTCCCCGCGGGCGAGGAGGTTCTGCTCGACAAGACTGACGGGACAACCATCCACGTGACGAGGAGACAGTTTGAAGACTTGCTGGCCGTGGAGATGGCGAACATGATCGACCAGGGGCCACTGAACGCGACGAAATGGCCGGGGTTTGAAGGATGCGAACCGTACATCCGCATCCAGCAAAGGATGAAGAGACTGAGCGATAGTAACAGTGTTTGCACGTGCTTGTCGAGGAGAAGGCGGTCACGGTTGTACAGGATTTTGTGACGAGAGAGAGGATACTGAAGTTGTGGTGACGGGGCTAGGATTGCAGTAAGTTCTCCTTACTGAGATGTTGTCAATGATGATGGTCAAAGCTTTATCAACAATGTGATTGAGTAAAAGAGCTTGACTGTGTGATTAAAAACGAATGGGAACGGTGAAAAATGTTTTCGGCGGTCAACGATAGGTCTCAACTTGAAGTGGAAATCTGCTGGCAGGTTCCGATCAATTTGCCGCCCGGCCCGGCCCCGGCCCTTTAGTTCACCGAGTGCCGCCGGGCCGGACTCTGCCAGGCTGATCATTCGAGTCCAGCCTGGCCCAGCCGTACTAGCCTAGTAGAGTCGGAGTCTCGGCGCCCCCGCCTGTATTCCAGGTTGATTGCTGTTGTCACGTGGGCAATCATCAATTTCCAATCAACAAATTTTTGGAGTAATCATTTTCCAATCAACGAAAGTTTGCAGTAATCATTTTCCAATCAACTTTTTGAAACAATAATCATTTTCCAATCAAAACTCCCCGTTTCGTACCGTTACACGTATCAGAAACGGTCGTAACCGTATACTTTTGCAATCATTTTCCAATCAAAATCAACTTTCAAACTTTCAACTCTCCATTTTGGAACTTTACCCCACCCCTTGGCGGTCTGTGTGAGGTGGATTCTCAAAAAGTAAGGACAACTACTACACTGGCACACAATGTTATAAAAGTAGTGTCTGCCAGGATCCACAGTCCTAATGCCTCTGCATCCATGCTCCAAATTGATTCGTTCAATATAGCCCGTACATTCTTTTCTTGACAGGAAATGTTGGCCCTGCAACAGGGCGGCGTGGTCACGCAAGGGCCGGTCCTTGAAACATGCCGCACGACGAGTGAAGACATCCCCCATGATCCAATCATACGGCCGAATCCGCATA